GGCCTACTTGTTGTTCCTAGAGTATTTAAAAGTAGAATGGGAGGCAGAGCCTTCAGTTTTCAGGCCCCTCTTCTGTGGAACCAGCTTCCAGTTTGGACTCAGGAGACAGACACTATCTCTACTTTTAAGATTAGGCCAAAAAAATTGAGAAAATCCAGAAAAAAACTGTCAAAATAGTCACATACCAAATAAAACTAAACACCACAACTCACAAACAGGAAGTGGCCCAGTCAAACGCCAGTTTCTAAAGAAAGAATTGTAACTCAATTTATGATCATTAGATTTCACATCAGTGACAATTAATATATGAATGGAACATTTTCAAAATTGATTTCCTATTACATGAAACAAAGGTTGCCTTAAAAATGATTACTTAAACCTCGCTCCACAAATCTTCCACAATAATAATCAAACTTTTTCCTGCATTGATGCTATATTATATGATGTTGTATAAAAATGTTTTGTTTTATGTGGCTAGTTAGTATTTACCCACTTATTTCCCCGCTAAGCGCATTAGGAGGAAATGAAAAAAATATTTAAAAATGGCTAGAGGAACAAATTCATATGTTGCAGTTTACCACTGTGCATTTTAATCTTGTTTGAACCGTTTGCTTGCTTAATAGCTCTTAATTTTATCCTGATTATTATACAAAATAAGTTATGTATAATGTTAACTTACTGAGGTTTGAATTTCAGACTTTCGATAACTTTTTGATAATCAGATTGTTTTCCTGTTAAGTTTAGTCATCTTTCGTAGACCACAGTAAGCAACATCTGTCAGTCTTATCACCACATCAACACATCGTAGACATCTGATCGACTCTTAATCTCTTCCTGGTTTCTATACGTTTATGTTTTTCTGTCTATGACCACATCCTCTAGTGCATTTTCTCAGTCTATATGTAGATATTAGTATCTACTTCTCTTTGCTGATAGATAATATTTCAATAAACGAAACAAACCTAAAGCATAAGTCAAATTTGTCATGGTTACCAAATATTTTGAAAAATTGTAAAAACTATGTCTTTAACTTGTAATCTGTGATGTGCTGTAATCGTGTTTTGGTTGAATACTTTTCTTTTACACATATTAGCTTCTTAACAAAGCAGATTACGAAAGTCTCACATACACATTTATACATACAGCCTCAAGTTGATGAGTGTTTTAAACTCATAAATCAACTTTGTAAGCAGCACATTTGAGTTTGGAATAAAACTGGGCATAAAGATAACCGATCCATTCTTATTACTAGTGCCTTATAAATTCTACACGGGAGAAAGAA